AAAGAGAAAGAAGAGAAAGGAGAGTGAGTTATACCAAATACTGATTTCATTCACATGCTCATTGAAATTAGGAGCTGGAGGGGGAGGTGTTGCAAATTTCTCTTAAGGGGAAAGTTTTTTGGTAATAAAACCACAGATAAAATCACTGATTATTGTTTAGGTAACAACGCAGTGAGCAACATACATGCAGGAACGAGTAGCAAATAAGAGGAAGGGAATACTGTCTTGTTGGGGGGCGTTTGCAGCTTTAAGGTCACCATGAAACAACGTCCTATGAATCTTGATTAAATAAAATGCAGGAGGAAAAAGACATTTATCATAAATGTGGACATTTGGATACAGCTGGAACTATTCTAGAAACTCCAGAGAGGAAGGAAGAAGACAGAAGGGTGAAAAAGAACTACAGTATTTATTTATGGCATCACCCACAGGTTTCACACTGCTTTGAAGCTCTTCAAAGATGGCGGCATACACATATCACAGAAATGGAAGCACACAGTCTCATCGCCCTCTTCTGCAGAGCAGGATGAGTCACTTAGCACAGCCCGAAGCACAACGCAATTTTTCAACTTCTGAAATACACATTTAAGCGTCTATGCCATACACCACAAAAGAACAACAAATTAGCCATATTACTTGATAAACCAAATGAAAAAAAGAAGTGGCAAAACCACGTCTGGATCTCTAGGTCAGAGCACCTAATGAAAAGCATCATAAGCACATCTTTCTTTCCTCCACACCTTTTAAAGTTCCTCCACAACATAGTTCTTCCTGAGCTATGGATCTCATAGAATTTTCTGCTGCCTCCAATTCAGCTGAGCCCAGACACAGAAGCAGAATAGAACAAAACAACAATCCCGCCATAGGAACTGCATCCCATCCACATTTTTATTCCTCACCTGTAAGTTAGACATGACTGTCCCTCCCCTCCCCAAGCCCACAATCCTGTCCACCCTTGGAAGGTATGGGTCACAGGAAACTACCAGTGATCTAACCGTGATAAGCTTATGCCAATTTAAGTCTGTGCTGCAACTGAACAGGGCGATTCTGCTTTCCACACATCCCTGCCCCGCTCAGGCTGCTGTCAGTACCAGTGATCCTGAAGCACTCAGCCCCATCAGATCACTGGTTCAGCTGACTTCATGAGTACAAATTCCAGCAGAAAGGGGTGTTTCAGGCAGGCTCCCCCCATTCGCCTATACAGATTTAGATTAACATGTCAGCTCAGGAAATTACATTTTCAGAGCACAGTTTCAAATTAAACATAAGGCAGTACAAAGGCTGCTACCAGTGGGGTCTATCCCACGTCCCTTACTTGCCCCTCCTGCTTTCAGAAAAACCGATCACAAGTCCATAGGGTGAATATGGTAAACCAAGTAACACAGAAGAAGAATGGCTTCCCACCAGATAAGCTCACTGATCCAGTTCATGCTTTTTGGAGAGCATGGCTAGATACAAGTTAGGGAAGAAGGAAGGGAACAGAACCAGCCCTTTCTGATGACAGCCCACAGTTACACTAAATTAGATGTAACACAAAATCACAGTCAGTGACTGGTAGAAGCAAGATTTGAACTGCTCTTCTAGGCACCTCTATTACAGCACGTCAAAGGTCCAAAACCCATATTCATCAAAGTCAGTCCACAAAAAGGTAGATGTCTACTCTACACACCATTAACACAGAGTCGTATTCTTTATTCATGACTTGTCCATGTAAAAGAAAAGAGGAAAACAACATAGAAACAGATTTAAAGAAAAAAAGCACCGATACCTGAGCACCCACTAGTTGCAGCAAGGCTGAATTCACAGGAAGCAGTTCAATGTCTGTATTGATAGTGGTCTGGTCAAAAGGGCATGCCTTACGGTGGAGCTTGTTGAGGCACATCTTGCAAACAGTGTGGCCACAACCCAAGCTGATGGGCTTCCGGATTGTTTCGTCGAAGGTCTGTGTGCAAATTGGGCAGGAGAGAAAATCCGTCCATTGTGGAGCTTGTACAGGCATTGCTTCAGGAGTTAATTGACAAGACAAAAATCTAAAGCACAGATTCCACTGGAATCAAAATCTTTGAAAAAAGTCTGTTTGTTTTTAAATATCTTCTGTAAGTACAGACAGTCAGCACATAGTGTGAAACATAACCTAAAAGAAAACAAAAACAGAAAAGTTAGCATTCTCTACTGGAACTGGCATGTGAAATCCTTAGTGCTAGGTAAATACCACTTGTAGAAGTATAGCTGAACTAGGAGTGCAGTTCTGACATTAAATAGAGGACCGAGGCATGACTTGCTTTAATTACAGCTAGTCTCTGGCAGAGGAAAAGCCACTTAAAACTGTTTCTGCTGTTACGCAGCTTTTTTTTTTTTTTTTAAAAAAAAAAGATAGTTAAAAAAGATAGTTATCTATCTCATTGAAGTTGTAAGACTAATTAGCTTTTGGTTTTTATGTTCTCTTTTTTCTTTACAAATGCGCCAATTAACATCAACTAGATTTGAATACAAAAAGACAATTTTTGAAGTGCTGTTGTGCTTATTCCACTAAAACAATTTTTTTACAGTATTCACTGTAAGTTTTAAATTATTCTGCTTAGACAAGGCTTCATCCAAAACCTCTATCACAAGCAAGGTTCAGTGGGCTCTGAATTTGCACACAACGGCACTGCAGAGACATCTGAGCTGCCATAACCTCAAGAAGAAATTGATGAATGGCTCAGCGTACAGTCAGACACTGTCTGCATGCAATACAGCTCACATTCATCACTAGGTAATATTACGTACTGCTACTACAGCATCCTCACACAAGGGCATCTGTACAGAGCTGCATGGTATCACATGGGCTTATCTGGTCACATCTCAGTTCCCCTGGGAAACTCCATGCATAGCTCGGTATAATTCAGCATTGATAACTCGCCTTCAGTCTGCCCACCGAACAGCTCCATCCCTCAAAAGCAGGAAGAAAAATTCTGTAGGTCACTTTGGACCAGAAGAATGACAATTGTTTCTCAAGAACCCTTTTCTAGCCCCAATTTATATCATTAATTGCTATCTCGAGATTACATTGACAGAGAAAGTAACATTTTTAACGCACTGAGGGATTACATTGAAACACTGAAATAGAGGAGAACTTGGGAGGTCTTTACTACTTGGCACTTTTGAATCAAAATGCTAAGAGGATCAAATGCTACTAATGATATGGGAATGGAAGCTAAGACGTCTCTTTGAGACAAAAAGAATTAAATAAAAGCAGGACTCCATGTGTCAGGAGAAATATAAGAGTAGACAGGTTAAGTGATACGAAAAGGATCATTACTCAAAAGGAAAATTGATAATAATATAATAAATTTCTGATGTCTGGCTTACTTTCTATCACCAGTGAAGTTAGCAAAAAACAGTGCTGGCCACATAGAAAAGTCTGTTTGGTAGTAAATCTAAGTCAAGCAGCAAAACAACAACAAAACCCCACCCCAGCCACCCAAATGTGTTAGTTTCACTTTCCCACACACCACTGGCTCAGGTTTTGTACCAGAGTGCGCACTTGCTTGCTAATCTGTTCAGATAGAAAGTCCTTATATAAGAAAAACAGCAACCTTTATCAAATCTTAGCTTAAAAAACAATCTCAAAATTAAAATCTCAATTCTAAGTAAAGGCAGAGAGAAACTTCAAGTTAAGACTTGTGCAATTCAGAATCAAAGTATTTTAAAAGAGCAACAAAAATCTAACACTAAAACAGAGACTCTGAAAAGCCTCAGGCTTTTTTCCAGAATTTAGTGCAGTGTTGTTCACAGCTAATGTCATTTTGCCAAGGCAAACAATCAAGAGTTACTAGTTAAGCTTTTATCCGTGTTTCATCAACAAAACATTAAAGCTTAGTTCTAAAGCTAATAAAAAATTCTACTTCTATCTTCAAAAGACAACGTACAATGCCACACAGCCACTGGTTACCAGCCAACACGGAATCAATAAGAAATCAATACTACCCAGACAGGGTGGTACTGAGGAAGAGGCACAGCATGCGGTTAACCCTAACACCACCACTGCACAATTAGAAGATATGCCAAGGTTGTTCAGGGTTCCCCCCCAAATGACCTCTTTAATAGCAAATCACTAATTTTTTCATCTTGTCAGCAGTCAACCAAATCATTCCCATTACTATTATATCATCATAACTCGAAGGAAAACACTTACACTTGTAAGTTACTTGATTAAGCTAACTGCCAAAAACATCCAAGAAATTTATTTCCAAGCCTTCCCCCCTCCGAGCCCTTCAGATATTTTTAAGTAAACCTTAGTATCAAGTATCCCAGCAAGAATCATTCTCTGTAAACCAAATCTGTAATAGAAATTACCTTGAAACTCCACAAAAATCCTTCTGCAAAGAGTAGTACAGAGCTTGATAAATCTAGTGTATGTATTGCTGTGCTATGAAATACCATTTGAGGTCCAAAAATCTAAGAGCTGCATCATATTGCTTCCTTTCTACCACATTGGAATTAAAATGTTCACCAACAATTTCCCAGACTCATCTGCAATTCCGAAACAATTTGAACAGTCTATTTGAAACATTGTATATTAACCAAGCATTAAGGAAAAGAGCAGTTTCTTACTACCAGAGAAAATCTAAAACCAGAAGCTAAGATGAAGCTATACCATCTATACTAAAATGCAGATGTGGACATGGAGACTCCACCATCCCTGGCTCTGAACTGGAAAAAAGGAGTTGAAAACAACTAACATAAGAGACATATTGTTCCTACCTATACCACTGGCCACTCCAGACAACTGGCATCATGAAATATGAAGGTCATATTTATTTACAGTCTCAACACTTGAAAGAGAAGTTTGGGGAGTCTCAGGAGGGAGGGACTAATTAGCGGCATCTCTGATCCCTTATCAAGGCAGGTCTCAAAAGGCTGGAGAAAAACAGAAGCAAAGCTTACACACAAGCATAACTCTCAGAAGGGTCCTACTGAGCCCAAGCCTGGCACTGAACTGCCAGAATAGAAGGGCACATCACACGTGAATGGAAAACCCACAGCCCTGACTGTGGATATGCAATCACTAGAGAGGCACATTGCACCAGTTGGTGACAGTTCCCCCCGGCCCGTGATGGACTTCTCTCCTACCAGATTTCACCAGATTCTGTGGTGCCTGTGAACACATACTGGTGCCTAAATGCCTGAGGAAGGCCACGGATAGTACTGACAATGGAAAACATGGCTGGGAGAAACCTCAGGGAATCATCTATTTCAGCCATCTGTTCTAGCAGTTAGACTGTGCTAACTGGCTTGATCCAGTCAACCTTTTCCTCACAGGAGAAAAGAGTAGCTGTTTGAGCACAAACCCTGCTCTGCTAATAAACGTCCCAAGCAGATCAGCTCAAAACTCTGGAATTCCTCCAGTCCTGTGTAAGGGGGGAACAGCATCACAGGGACTGACAGTTCATGAGCTGCATGCATACAGGCCAGCACCAAACAAAATACTGCTGCAACAGCTTTCCACATACATAGTCCAGTTTTCCTGCTGGATCTTCAATCTTCAGACAAGGAAGCAGAGTCAAGCGCCGAGACACAACATAAATCTCTCCCAGGCACAAAGCAGACAGATGGGGTATACACATAAGAAGTGAAGCTGGGAAAGATGTACATCTTTTTTCAAGGTTTGTGACTTGCTAAGACCTTGGAAATAACTGGAAACAAAATATTCTCTAACTTCAAAGGGCTACTTTAAACAGGAGAGATTACAGTAAAATGATGGAAACAAGACAGTTTCATTATCACAGACAGCTATTGGAACTATCATCACTAGAGAAACAGAATGCTTCCTTGTACAGATAAGGTAGGAAAAGCATATTAACACTTTCATGGTACAACACTTCCCCCCCCCCGCCCCCCAATGTTTCTCTCCAGCATTACGCCAGGTGACCAAAATGCAAAGAATGTAAACATTTATAAAAGACATACCTATTTAAATAAAATCCCCCTTCCCATAATACTATGACATTTTTAACCCACCCTCTCAATTCACTAAGTATTTCACACCTGTTAGCTTCTAACACTTTAAATATATATACACACACAATTCTTCATGCATGATTGAGGAAAATAAAGATATGGCAAACACAAGAAAACCAAACACTAAAAAGACACATCCACAATACATAAATTGAAGGACAAAAAGCTGTAATTAATAATGAAGATTCCTCAAGACATAGACCTTGAATACTACACTGGGACCAGAGACAGATTTATTTTGTTATTTCTGAGTTTAAACATATGAAATACCTGTATGCAAGTCCCCTCCTCCCAATTAGCCCCGCATAAGCTGCTTTCATCCACAGCTAGAGGAACCTGAAAAAAGTTTCTCCTCTCTTCTGGGCCCTCCCCACCCCTCAAAACCCCTTGAAATTCCATCCTTCAACCCAGACTGGAAATGTCATGCTGTAATCAGATCAGTGACCCGTCTCCTCTGGGACCCTGCCAGTGCTTCAGAGAAAGCCAGGATCATTCTATAAACCACCTGGACAGCTGCTTCAACGCTTTATCGCATTCCTTACTCTGCCATACTACAACACAGAGCAGTAACACAGTCTCCTGTCCAAGCTGCTTTATGTCCGTGATGACCAGAGCCTTCCACACATAGCTAGAAAGCTTTGAAGATTCAACCCTCAGGAACAAGACGTTTTTAAAACGCAGAACACTGTTCCAATATCCACTTGCATCAAGTTTTGCACATGATGACATACAGGAAAACTCTCTTCTGCTTTCAGTTAAAATTCAACTCCCTTTACATTAATCGCGCTCTCCAAGTCCTTTTGTACGGGTACAAGCATATACTGACTTCTCTCGCAAACATGTTATTTGGACCTAACGTGTACTAGACTAGCACAGACGTATCATGTGCCGCTTCGTCACGCACAAGTTGCACTGATCTTTCCCAGCAGCAGTCCACAGTAAGTCATGTTACAGTTTAAGGCAGATGACTCAGCACACCTACGGGGCACCCTCTGC